TGATCAGTCCCTACACCCAAACGAGGGCATTGCGTTCATCCACCTCTGGCCTGCTGGCTCCCCTTCCTCTGCGGAAGCATAGTTCCCGCTCAGCCCAGTCAAAACTGTTCGCTGCTCTGGCACCCCAATGGTGGAACAAGCTCCCTCACGACGCCAGGACAGCGGAGTCACTCACCACCTTCCGGAGACATTTGAAACCCCACCTCTTTAAGGAATACCTGGGATAGGATGAAGTAATCCTTCTACCCCCCCCCCCCCCCCCCCCCCAAAAAAAAAATTAATAAAAATAAATGTATTGTAAAGTGGTTAACCCACTGGCTATAGGGTGAATGCACCAATTTGTAAGTCGCTCTGGATAAGAGCGTCTGCTAAATGACTTAAATGTAAATGTAAATGTGTAATGGAATGTTTTGCCCTGTGTGGTAGGTTTTGTGGGTTTTTACATTCTTATGTAGGCGTCATAACCAGCCATAAAAGAACTACCGTCGAAGGTTTTGTGGGTTTTGACACTCTTATGTAGGTTTCATAACTAGCCATAAAATAATGCAATACAGGTCTAAATATATGTGTCATGACAGTGTTATGACCATATTAGGAAAGGTTATGACAAGTTATGTCAACTGTTATGACATATTATGACCGTGTCATAACGTGTTATGATGCTGGGTGTCAAGTAAAGTGTTACCTTAATCTTTTCTAAGACGGCAAACTAGTTGCAACACATCCACAAGCTAAAAATAGCACAAAATAGCACACTAACTATTCATATATGAAATATTCCCTTCAATTTAGCCAAGCACTCTATGAGGAAAGTGGAAATGGTCATAACTTCACCAATACACATGATATCGTCTTCCTCCTCTGTCCAGCGACCAAAGACAATTTGCAGAGCCATTAAGCTCAGACACATAAACTGTAAAAAGAATGGACGGAGCTTGTTTCCTATATGAAGTCTCAGTGGCGCATTTGAAGTTCAGGAAATGTCATTTTAGCGTGTCACCATGGAGGAGTTTTTGGAAACATTGCATGCGCAGTTTGAGCTACTCTAGGAAGTGACGTTGCAGGCAAGGTCAGTGCTGCACCCTGTCATTGAGTATCTCAACTTGAAGGCCGACCGGGGTACTGCAGGCTGCCGGTAGCCACTAAATTATCTTCTTCTGTGTGCGATACTAAAATAATCGGTTCAGGGACACATATCTGGTGAAATAGAAGCAAGTATTGGTACCATTATTGTGTTCGATTTTTTTTTATATCCACGAATATTGACCATGAAGATCGTCATACTTCGATTTACTATAATGGGGATCCTGTTTTCTGAAAACAATGCCTGCAGTACTCCGGTCAGCCATGAACTGAAATCCTGAATGAGAGGGGGCAGTCGTTCTCCCCTGCTCCATCATAATGTGATAACGACTGAAAGGGAAAGGGGACACCTAGTCAGTTGCACAACTGAATGCATTCAACCGAAATGTGTCTTCTGCATTTAACCCAACCCCTCTGAATCAGAGAGGTGCGGGGGAGCAGTTGTTGTTGGGGATTAACTGCCTTGCTCAAGAGCAGACTGATGTGACAAAAGAAAACGTACGTCACTCCTGGCTGTCCCCATATAGTCTGCTCTGTGTACAGCAAACAAACAAACAAATCTTGTTTTTCATGGTCTGAGAGTCTTTAGGTGCCTTTTGGCAAATTCCAAGCGGGCTGTCATGTGCATTTTACTGAGGAGTGGCTTCCGTCTGGCCACTCTCCCATAAAGGCCTGATTGGTGGAGTGCTGCAGAGATGGTTGTCCTTCTGGAAGGTTATCCCATCTCCACAGAGGAACTCTGGAGCTCTGTCAGAGTGACCATCGGGTTCTTGGTCACCTCCCTGACCAAGGCCCTTCTCCCCTGATTGCTCAGTTTGGCCGGGTGGCCAGCTCTAGGAAGAGTCTTGGTGGTTCCAAACTTCTTCCATTTCAGAATGATGGAGGCCACTGTGTTCTGAGGGACCTTCAATGCTGCAGACATTTTTTGGTACCCTTCCCCAGATCTGTGCCTCAACACAATCCTGTCTCGGAGCTCTACGGAAAATTCCTTCGACCTCATGGCTTGGTTTTTGCTCTGACATGCACTGTCAACTGTGGGACCTTATATAGACAGGTGTGTGCCTTTCTAAATCATGTCCAATCAATTGCATTTACCATAGGTGGACTCCAAACAAGTTGTAGAAACATCTCAAGGATGATCAATGGAAACAGGATGTACCTGAGCTCAATTTCGAGTCTCATAGCAAAGGGTCTGAATACTTATGTAAATAAGGTATTTCTGTTTTTTATTTTTAATACATTTGCTACTATTTCTAAAAACCTGTTTTCTCTTTGTCATTATGGGGTAGTGTGTGTAGATTGATGAGAAAGAAGAAAAAACATCAATTTTAGAATAAGGCTGTAACGTAACAAAATGTGGAAAAGGTCTGAATACTTTCCTAATGCGTAAGTAATCAATCCAATTTCATCATGAAAAGGTGAGACTTTTTTTTCCCATGGAGTGTTGGTTTAAAATAGCCTCATTTGCCTCCCCCTGGCTCCCTCCTACACTGCAGTGCACCTTAGGTCTGTTATCAAGAGCAAGACATTTCCTCTGATACATTACCCATGAGACATTATGTTACCTGGCTGAGAGAGAGAGGTGTATTCTATCAAACAAATGTAACAATGCCTCTTTAATCTTTCACATCTATTGTGCATTGATGGTCCCCAAGAACACAGTGGCCTCCATCATTCTTAAATGGAAGAAGTTTGGAACCACCAGCATACACTATATCATTATTTAATTAAGATATGTTAGGCTTGGCTTGTCTCATTATATTTCTCTTGACCCCATTTGAGTAGTAGTAGGGAACCTGTTTCTCAATAGAACACTGCCAGCTTGTGGTTAAAGTACAGTATATCTGTCTCATGCAGATTCCTGACTTTGGTACCCAGATGAGGGTTCTTGTCTCCATGTATTCACTCACCAATCACCATGAACCTGCTAATGGAGTATTTCCAAGAGTGGTGTTAGGGTAGGCTTATCTGGTTGAATGGTTATTGATATTAAAATGCTTGTGTCTTCACTGAATATCATATGTGTATCTTTGTATGTATCTTATCACGGAATTGGCCAATATGATTAATACTGTTAATGTGCCCTTTATTACATTACATTGTTATAACTGTGTAATAGTCTATACTTGAATGATATCGGTGCATATTGAAGGATGATTGCTCCATCTGTCTCGGGCTATTTCTATTCTCAATGTACATATTTTATACCAGGGTACATTACATTTGCCTGACGACTGAAACTGAATCCTTCCTCTGCTCTATGTTCACTGTGGAGAATAAACTAATGTCCGTGGGCCACTGGCGAATAGTTTACCCCTGCTGCAGCCCCCAACCCACCCTAAAAACGAAATAATCTGTTAAATTTTTTAGGTTGGGGTCCACCCGGAGTTCGGGTCCCCCAAATAGCATATGAACATGTCATAAACCATGATTTATTTTTATTTTTATTACAGGCAGTTTGCTCTAAAACTGCTACATTTTCTCTCAGCGTCATGGCAAAATGTGTAGAATAGCAGGAAATTAGCTCAGGGATTCAAACATGTTTAATATTAAGACAAATATTTGTGGGAAAAAAGTTGTGATTGTCCGGTCTTTCAATAATCCCTCTAAAACGGCAACATTTTCTCTCAGCCTCATGGCAAAATGTGTAAAATAGCATGAGATAAGCTATAAAACTGCCGTGGGCGTACATGGCGTTGCGTTTGGGAGTTTGGGTAGCCAGGCAAACATTACATGACGCTGGTCTTTACGCCTTCATGGGGAATGTTGCGCTGCTGGAAACATCAAAGCGCAGGCGTAGACTCTGGAGGTATGATTACTGTACATGGCCATCGATGCCGCTGGATAAACCAAACCAGCGATGTAAATAACAGCAACGGAGGCGGTGGATCTAACATGCCTAATTCTATCACTGCTTGACATGAGAAAATAATACATGGCATCTGGGTTTATCCCCTTGGCAAAACCACCGCGGCCGTCCTTCTATGCGCGTCTCGGAATTTGGCTTTGACAGCTCGTCCGATGGTTTTCTTAATTTGACGCACGAACCTAATCAGACGACGGGCGGTGTTATCTAATACCCACTTGGGAAAAACGGGTCATTATGACCTTAGTATCCTCATCTAAAAGAAAACCATTGGATTGTTTTTACGCAGCAGTGTTCTGCTTGCATTTCTTGCTGTGGATTGTATGCGTTGTGTCCGGAGAAGAGCATCATCAGTTCAGCGTTGAGGTAAGATTAATGGCCTGCTAGTGCTTCGCCGCTGCTCATCATAAATGACTATGCACTCTCCTCTGCTCGGGTGGCAGCGCTTTGCGCGAAAAACAATATTAACTGTAGACGAGGGTTGTTATTTATCTGGCTACATCGTCACTGAAGCATGGCAGATGACATGGCAAATGTATCTGATTCTGATGGATGTTTCAAGACGCGGGGAACATCGAAATTATTATGCGTTCTATTATTTTTTTACAAACAGAAAAACATCGGAAGCTTTTGGCATTGCTTTGAACGACATGGTCCAGCGCCCGTCTGCTCAGTCGACTCATGATCTCACACTGTCTGTAATATTTGTTATCATACATCTGTGAATATATATATAGTATACAGTATATACTAGTATTATATAAATTACCTACGCAATTGGGTGGGTTTATGTTTGTGCAGATTAAGATGTGATCCAAGTTACATAATAGGATAAATAGGGTTGAATATATTGTACCATATTAATTGCTGCTGTCATATTCTCTGTATAGGCCTAGCCTACTGTAGGCTATTCTCTCTCATCCCTCAAGTCAAATGACACGGTTCTGGCCTCGGATCCTTATTCAGTTCTTTGTGCTGTGAACCAGAACCTAGGCCTTAGCTATACACAGACAAAACAAACAAACAACCATTGGCTACATCTGATTAAGAGATGGTGGAAAGATGGACAAACAACAACAAGGCATTTGGCTCAGTGAGCAGCGGAGAGCGAGCGATAGAGATACAGGGATAGAGGGAGGGATGAGGGAGAGATAAATGGAGGATTAGCGGGAGCGTCTCATAGGCTGGGTAATGATGGTGATTGCGAGGCAGCAGCGGTTGGTTGGCGTGTGGACAGCTGTGGTGGAGCGTGGCTGCCTGCCTAGCTGCCTCATGGCTCTTGGCTACGGTCAACGGGGATTGGGTCTGACAATGACCCCTGGACGACGCTGAATCTCTGCTTTACTCAGAAGGAGTGGAGCGGTGGCAGTGTCACTCTGTGTGGGTGGCAGCTTTGAGCGGTGGTGGTTATAGGCAGAAACACTGAGTGAATGTTACTGGAAGGGATGTGGGTAACTGAGCATAGCCATGTGGGTTACAATGTTCAGCCTTGAATACTAGACTTCTGTCCATCCTAATATGCAGAAAATATGAGCCTGAACTAGGCCTTTTCTCTGTCAGTGTCACTGTGTGTGGGTGGAAGCTTTGAGCAGTGGTGATTATAGACAGCACTGAGTGTTCCTGTAACTCTGGAAGGCATGTAGGTATACTGTAGCCCATAGGATGTGGCTTAAAATGTTCAGGTTGGAACAGAGGAACTTCTATCCTGAGAGTTCTCCATCAATTATGAACCTCAACTGTATGATCAGTTTGACTCATACTAGAGACTTTATGAACAACCATTCCACCCTCTCATTTCTCTCTTGGTGACCATGACCAAAATGTAGCTTATAACTCATGTAATAACAATGTAATAGCAGCATTTGTCAAGACTCTCTCCCTCTGTCCTCCCTCTCGCTCTTCTGTAGGGATGGCTACAGAAGTATGGCTACCTGCCCCACACAGACCCCAGAATGGCTGTCCTGCGCTCAACACAGACCATGCAGCAAGCCATCGCAGCAATGCAGGGCGTCTACGGCCTCAATGTCACAGGGACACTGGATGAGAGGACCACAGAGTGAGTAGATACACACACACACACACACACTAACATAGGAACACAAAAAAGTAATTATCACCAATGATAAATGTATGTAGCCTACATTGATTTACCCAAATTAGCTCCAACATCTCTAACTAGCAGCCCAGTGAGATCATAACACTTTTCATTCTTCCCCTTCTTGCTTAATTGATGAAGTGATATCACACTAAGGTGAGGCTCGATCTTTTACATATTATTTGTGTGCACAGTATTCCATACGTGTTACATGGGTTTGAATGGAAATAGATCAGTCATTGAAGCTCTAACCTGGCCAACACTCAGTCTTACCACTTTTTCTCAGAATGGAAAGAACCATTTCAGTCAACTAGATGTCACATTTTTATGTTGCTGGGTTTTTCACGCTCAACAGTTTCCCGTGTGTATCTAGGATGGTCCACCACCCATAGGACATCCAGCCAACTTGACACAACTGTGGGAAGCATTGGAGTCAACATGGGCCAGCATCCCTGTTGAACGCTTTCAACACCTTGTAGAGTCCATGCCCGATGAATTTAGGCTGTTCTGAGGGCAAAAGGGAGTGCCACTCAATATTAGGAAGGTGTTCCTAATTCAGTGTATATTATAGTGGGAAACACTAGTCCCATTGTCCACTAAACCGCAGTATGTAAGGCCATATGTTTGGTATTCTAGTTCAGAGTAGTGCTTGTTGTGGCATCAGATATAACCAGTCAAACATCCTGTAGGTACAAAGGTGTTCGATCGGGTTGAGGTCAGGGCTCTGTGCAGGCCAGTCAAGTTCTTCCACACCGATCGACAAACCATTTCTGTATGGACCTCACTTTGTGCACGGTGGAATTGTCATGCTGAAACAAGAAAGGGCCTTCCCCAAACTGTTGCCACAAAGTTGGAAGTACAGAATCGTCTATAATGTAATTGTATGCTGTAGCGTTAAGATTTCCCTTCACTAGAACTAAGGGGCCAAGCCCGAACCATGAAAAACAGCCCCAGACCATTATTCCTCCTCCACCAAACTTTACAATTGGCACTACGCATTGGGGCAAGTAACGTTCTCCTGGCATCTGCCAAACCCAGATTTGTCCGTCGGACTGCCAGATGGTGAAGCGTGATTCATCACTCCAGAGAACGCATTTCCACAGCGCAAGAGTCCAATGGCGGCAAGCTTTACACGACTCCAGCCGACGCTTAGCATTGCACATTGTGTTCTTAGGCTTGTGTGCGGCTGCTCGGCCATGGAAACCCATTTCATGAAGTTACCGACTAACAGTTCTTGTGCTGACGTTGCTTACAGAGGCAGTTTGGAACTCGGTAGTGAGTGTTGCAACCGAGGACAGACTATTTTTACGCGCTAAGCGCTTCAGCACTCGGCAGTCCCGTTCTGTAAGCTTGTGTGGCCTACCACTTCGCTGCTGAGCCGTTGTTGCTCCTAGACTTTTCCACTTCACGATAACAGCACTTACAGTTGACCGGGGCAGCTCTAGCAGGGCAGAAATGTGACAAACTGACTTGTTGGAAAGGTGGCATCCAGTGACGGTGCCACGTTGAATGTCACTGAGCTCTTCAGTAAGGCCATTCTACTGCCAATGTTTGTCTATGGAGATCGCATGGCTGTGTGCTCGATTTTATACACCTGTCAGCAACGGGTATGGCTGAAATAGCCGAATCCACTCATTTGAAGGGGTGTCCGCATACTTTTGTATATATAGTGTATATGTGTGTCACCACATAATTGTGCTTATCTAACCAGCTCTTGTCCTCCTCCTCCCTCCATTGTCCTTCTCGTCTTCCACCTCCACTTCCTCCCTTGTTCTTAGTTGGATGAAGAAGCCGAGGTGTGGAAATCCAGACAAACTAAAGGGCAACTCAAGGTCGCGGAAGCGGAGGTACGCGCTGACCGGGCAGAAGTGGCAGCGAACACACATCACTTACAGGTGAGAAACGTAGGCCGGCACATGCACATGCACATGCACGCATCACCTACAAGTGAGAGACGCATTCCAGCAGCCTTGATGGTTACCATGACAACCAACCGTTAGTCAGATTAGCCAAGGGTTATTGTAGGTTCCGTGTTTGTCAGTGTAGCTATTAATTTGTGCTCTCTTTTCGTCTCTCTTCCTCCTTGGTCTCACATTCCCTCAGCGTTGCCTTGGAGACAGCACATACGGGCGCACACATACACACACACACACACACACACACAGAAGAAGAGTTGTTTGTGTGTGAATAGAAGTCAAGTCAGAGAACAGAATAAAGTGATGTAATGGTTTTCAACTTTCTTCTTCTTTGCATTCCATTCCTTTACAGTTATCTTTCATTTCTCATTTTAAGAATACCAGAAGACAAACTGCCTCATTTTAATAGCAAGGATGAGGACAACTTTTATTTCGTCCTATTCTCTCTAAAATCCTCTAAGTAAATCATCCAATAATCTTAACAAAAATATTCAAATTCCCCATCTTATCACGCGTGATTAAGTTTCCGCTGCTAATGGGGTCTGAGAGAGCAGGATAAGGGGTGCTGCTCGGCGCGGTGGGAAATTGACAGGTTACAGCCGTAATAGATGATAACACTCTGTCAATTTATTTAAATCCTTACTTCCTTCCTGCATGTGAATTGATGAGGCACCTCTTCTAATGGAATGTCAGTCATTCTGGCTGCTGCTGCTTACTGCGCTCTCTCCATGAAAATGAGTTGGGGAGAGAAGATGAGGGGGAGAAGACTTCTCTCTCTCTGTCTCTGTCTGCGAGCGACTGATAACGACAGCTGTGTTAAAAGTGCAGTGAAAGCTGCTGGGTTTGTCGGAATAGTTTAATACTGAAACTTTTCGAGCATCTCATCATCCATTTTCGAGAATATTCTCCCCAAGCAATAGTGGGAGGGTGGTTCAGATTTGGACATACAGTATATGATATGTGGTGCTGTATGTGACGCTGTAGCCATCTGTTTCTTTCTATATTTAAAATGCTGTATTTGCGGGGCTGCTTTGTGTTAAAGCTTTGTTGTAGCCCTTTCTTGCAGTCAAATGACCAAATCACCCTCTAGTGGCCTCATGGGTGGAATGTTATTAATATTGTTCAGAATGTCATAATTAATCAACATTCTTATTTTTTTAACGCTGAAAATCCAGTGTTTCGATGTCAAATGGTATCGTTATATTTCAGTCTTCTGTGATGTATATAAAGTGTAATATTGGAATGCAAACTAAAAATGTAATACATATCAACTCTATATCTGGCATGGTACAGGTGTCTTCAATTTTGTAAGCCCATAACCATGTGTGTGAGGTGTATACTTTTGTTTCAAAGTAGATTTGTTTAAGACTACCAAGAAACACTGTGTGACCTTGATTTAGCCCACTGCAGTAAAAATGATGAATGATGTGGGTATATTTATTCTGGCTAGTGCAGAATAGGAGTTAAAATGTCTAATGAGTACAATAGTTTTCTTATATTACTGTCAATGTCTTATATTTTTTTACAAGTAAAAAGTGGCTCTTATCTAGCTGGTGGTACCATCCAAGCTTCCAATAACCCCCCACCCAGGATGCAATCTGTTTTTCACTTCTATCATATTCCCTATCCACCCTATCCATTTCTCTCCTAACATCAGGTCTTTATTGTAAAAACATGTTGTCAATGTAAATAAGAATATGTTCTATATTGACTCACCCTCTCTTCCTCCCTCAGCATAAAGAACGTCACGCCCAAAGTGGGCTCCAGGGAGACCCACGATGCCATCCGGCGTGCGTTTGACGTGTGGCAGGGAGTGACACCGCTCCACTTCGAGGCCGTCCCCTACAGCGCCCTGGAGAGCGGCAGGCGGGACGTGGACATCACCATCATCTTCGCCTCAGGTGAGAATTGTATTGAGTGGTGCCTGGGAGAGGAAAACTGAAACTATGTCAATGTTGCCCTAATCCCGTTCTCCCAATGTAAACTTTGAAGTTAAATTAAATTGATCTCACCTCAGGTTTCCACGGTGACAGCTCACCCTTCGATGGCGAGGGGGGGTTCCTAGCCCACGCCTACTTTCCGGGCCCTGGGATCGGAGGGGACACCCACTTCGACTCAGACGAACCCTGGACCCTGGGGAACCCCAACCACGATGGTGAGAGATGGAGGGAGGGAAAGAGGGAGGGGAAGGGGGAAAGAGATAGAGAAAGAGGGAGTGGGTGGGGAGGTTTAGAGAGAAAGATTAAAGGAATATGGTTGTGTGAGAATCATATCAAAGACTAACAAGTCAAAGAATGTAAATGGATACAGTCCAGTGACATACGGTGAGGTCGGTGGCTAGGTAGGCACTGGCTATTATCAAAGCCAAATTTACTCACAAATAAACCTTGATGAAGCCCAAGTTCACCATACAACAGAAAGCTCCAACAACCAAAGTGACATACAGTTGAATTCGGAAGTTTACATACACCTTAGCCAAATACGTTGAAATTCAGTTTTTCACAATTCCTGACATTTAATCCTAGTAAAAATTCCCTTTCTTAGGTCAGTTTGGATCATCACTTTATTTTAAGAATGTGAAATGTCAGAATAATAGTAGAGAGAATTATTTATTTCAGCTTTTATTTCTTTCATCACATTCCCAGTGTGTCAGAAGTTTACATACAGTGAGGGAAAAAAGTATTTGATCCCCTGCTGATTTTGTACGTTTGCCCACTGACAAAGACATGATCAGTCTATAATTTTAATGGTAGGTTTATTTGAACAGTGAGATACAGAATAACAACAACAAAATCCAGAAAAACGCATGTCAAAAATGTTATAACTTGATTTGCTTTTTAATGAGGGAAATAAGTATTTGACCCCTCTGCAAAACTTGGTGGCAAAACCCTTGTTGGCAATCACAGAGGTCAGACGTTTCTTGTAGTTGGCCACCAGGTTTGCACACATCTCAGGAGGGATTTTGTTCCACTCCTCTTTGCAGATCTTCTCCAAGTCATTAGGGTTTCTAGGCTGACGTTTAGCAACTCGAACCTTCAGCTCCCTCCACAGGTTTTCTATGGGATTAAGGTCTGGAGACTGGCTAGGCCACTCCAGGACCTTAATGTGCTTCTTTTTGAGCCACTCCTTTGTTGCCTTGGCCGTGTGTTTTGGGTCATTGTCATGCTGGAATACCCATCCACGACCCATTTTCAATGCCCTGGCTGAGGGAAGGAGGTTCTCATCCAAGATTTGACGGTACATTGCCCCGTCCATCGTCCCTTTGATGCGGTGAAGTTGTCCTGTCCCCTTAGCAGAAAAACAACTCCAAAGCATAATGTTTCCACCTCCATGTTTGATGGTGGGGATGGTGTTCTTGGGATCATAGGCAGCATTCCTCCTCCTCCAAACACGGCGAGTTGAGTTGATGCCAAAGAGCTCGATTTTGGTCTCATCTGACCACAACACTTTCACCCAGTTCTCCTCTGAATCATTCAGATGTTCATTGGCAAACTTCAGACGGGCCTGTATATGTGCTTTCTTAAGCAGGGGGACCTTGCGGGCGCTGCAGGATTTCAGTCCTTCACGGCGTAGTGTGTTACCAATTGTTTTCCTGGTGACTATGGTCCCAGCTGCCTTGAGATCATTGACAAGATCCTCCCGTGTAGTTCTGGGCTGATTCTTCACCGTTCTCATGATTATTGCAACTCCACAAGGTGAGGTCTTGCATGGAGCCCCAGGCCGAGGGAGATTGACAGTGCTTTTGTGTTTCTTCTATTTGTGAATAATCACACCAACTGTTGTCACCTTCTCACCAAGCTGCTTGGCGATGGTCTTGTAGCCCATTCCAGCCTTGTGTAGGTCTACAATCTTGTCCCTGACATCCTTGGAGAGCTCTTTGGTCTTGGCCATTGTGGAGAGTTTGGAATCTGATTGATTGATTGCTTCTGTGGACAGGTGTCTTTTATACAGGTAACAAACTGAGATTAGGAGTACTCCCTTTAAGAGTGTGCTCTTAATCTCAGCTCGTTACCTGTATAAAAGACACCTGGGAGCCAGAAATCTTTCTGATTGAGAGGGGGTCAAATACTTATTTCCCTCATTAAAATGCAAATCAATTTATAACATTTCTGACATGCGTTTTTCTGGATTTTTTTGTTGTTATTCTGTCTCTCACTGTTCAAATAAACCTACCATTAAAATTATAGACTGATCATTTCTTTGTCAGTGGGCAAACGTAAAAATGAGCAGGGGATCAAATACTTTTTTCCTTCACTCAATTAGTATTTGGTAGCATTGCCTTTCAATTGTTTAACTTGGGTCAAAAGTTTCAGATAGCCTTCCACAAGCTTCCCACAATAAGTTGGGTGAATTTTGGCCCATTCCTCCTGACAGAGCTGGTGTAACTGTGTCATGTTTGTAGGCTTCCTTGCTCGCACACGCTTTTTCAGTTCTGCCCACAGATTTTCTGTAGGATTGAGGTCAGGGCTTTGTGATGGCCACTCCAATACCTTGACTTTGTTGTCCTTAAGCCATTTTGGCACAACTTTGGAAGTATGCTTGTGGTCAATTTTCCAAGCTGTTTAAAGGCACAGTCAACTTAGTGTATGTACACTTCTGACCCACTGGAATTGTGATACAGTGAATTATAAGTGAAATAATCTGTCTGTAAACAAAATGTTGGAAAAATTACTTGTGTCATGCACAAAGTAGATGTCCTAACTGACTTGCCAAAACTATAGTTTGTTAACAAGAAATGTGTGGAGTGGTTGAAAAACAAGATTTAATGACTCCAACCTAAGTGTATGTAAACTTCAACTGTAGGCTATTAACCGAAATTGACAAAAAAATGTCACTAAATGTAAATACCAATGTAGCTAAGATACACAAGCGATAGCCTCCGATGGCGGCATATTTCATATCATCCGACAAAATGACACACTGCTCAACTCAGCTCAGTCATAGACCGATGTAGCGTCCACAGTTACAACTGATAGGTGTCACTAAAATACCCATATATGGACACGTTTCATCCGAATAATTCGCAACGCAAACACACACACACACACACACACACACACACACCTAATAATAATGTTATTAGGTGAAATATTGTTACACACAAATACTGTATATAATAAATAAGGTACTAACAAAATGTCCATATCAACAATCAAAATGACTGAAAAATTCAAAAACAAAACAAAAGTGTCTCATCAAAACGGAATTCTAGCTTGATAAATCAAATGCATTAAAGGGATGTTGTCCGTTAATCAAAACCATAAACAGCTAGACCGCTTTATGAAATTAAGTTGTACGTTTTTTTGGTGTATGTTAGGCCAACGCGCCATTTCTCTAGAGAGAAATCAAATCATTCATGAGATAAATCAAGTCAAGAACTACAGTATGTGGGATGCTGGGCTGAAGGGAGTTTTCATTAAGCAAATATTCAACCTAGTTCAGCGCAGAAACGTGGTAATTAACTACAATGACCATAATCCATTGTGCCTGTTCTTTCTGGCTCAAACAGAGATGGATACACTTTTACACCTGCTACATTAGGTTAGATACACACAGACAGCATAGACCACATGAAAGAGGAATGTACACGACAATGACGAGAGGGACAGGGACAGTTCGTGAAAGTATGCCTTATCTACTTTGAAGAACTAGTAAAATGATTTTTTCAGACAGCTCTGCTGCATACTTAGGCAGGCTAGCCTAGATAAATAGGATGACTAAAGATAGCACAGTATAGGGAGCACAGAGATAACATTAGATAGTCTGGCTGACTGGCTGGCTGGCTGCTACTGCTACTGAAATATTAAATTTTTTCATAGTCATTTCCTATTGATCTATTGATGTTAAGCAGAAGATATCCTCCCTACCTTTACACTTGTTTAGACTGAGCTGCACTGGGGTCTGAACACAATCATGGTTACTTTAAGACACCGTGGAGCCGGCGCCAGATATGGGTCCGAAAACGTACCTCAATGTAGGGATGAGATATGCCACTGTACTCCAAATTGTACCTTTATCCACACTGATACATCGAGAAGATTGCAATAATGATTATTGTTGTTGAAAACTGCCCTTTTCGTCCTCATGCTAGCTAGCAGTAGCCACCGCAGCCATTTTGGAATGGCAGTCTCAGCCAATTAGCTCCTTTGTTGTTCAACGCGACTGCCATTCCATAATGGCTGCTGTGGCTACTGCTAGCTAGCATGAGGACGAAAAGGGCAGTTTTCCGAACTAATAATCGAACTGAAACCGAACCGACCTCAAAAAGCACTAATCGCCCAGCACTATCGCTGACATAATTAAATCCCCAAAACGCCTCCTTGACTTCACTTTTAGCCACATAATGCAAAACCACAGAGATCTGGGATTTGTTTGTAACATCTGTGGTCTCAACTACTTCTACTGCAACAAATGGGGCTGCATTAATCTCATCTTCAATGTCCTTTCGAATCACATCGCTGACTGCTTCAATCAAATCATTCTGTTTGATAACCGAAAACACAGTGGAAGTCTCCATGTGTTTAGCTAACCTTTTTTAGCAAAGGTATACAATAACTCCACATAGTTGCCACAATTACATGAGATTGTACTCTCATCATTACTGTGAAATGTTAACTCATGTTTCCCTAGGTAGCATGTTGCTCTAATAAGGTCCTTCAAAATCTCACAGTTTTCCTTTACATTAGCATTGTGGATGGTCACTTGTTGTTTTTGCTGTTCATTTAACGCCAGATCGATCCATGTGTTCCCAAAAGTTTTTAGGGTGATCTGGTGTTGGATGTGCGATGCCGACTTTTTGTGTTTGTTGAGGGCATTGGTCAGATTGTTGAGGTTGCAGTAGCCGCCTTCTACCCAAATGTTGTCCCCGGTTGAGAAGAGCAGGCAGGGGAAACAGTACAGGCGGCTGCTGGTAGCGTAGCCACACAGCTACTCTTTTCTTTCAAACCACTCCTGTTTAAACAATCAGATAATTTTCTGTCTCTTCCTCTGATGAAATTCAGGAAGCGCAGGTGTTGGTCTCCCTCTCTGAATTAAGTTTTCCTTGGAAATCTAAGTATTTTCATAGTCGCCAAATCCAGAATAAAATCAAGAAAGCGTACAATATTATATAGATACCTAACACCTAACTTGGAAAATTGTTTGAGGTGCAATAGTGTCCATTTTGTCAGGTTGTTTTTGCTAGTTAGCTAGTTTCGTTCATTTTAAGGGATGTGCACGCCAAATTATGTAGACACGCCCAAATGTGCAGAGCTTACCCACACAACATGTTTAGGCAACATGTGCAAAATATGAAATCAGCTCACTGCAACGAATGTCAGCTAGGCAAAGCAGTGAGTCCTATCCTGACCCTGTCCATTAACGGGGACTGGAGTCATGAACGGCCACATGCGTCAATGATTTGAATGGATTTTAAAGGATGGGAATGAAGGTATGCACACCCTGGCGCCTTTCCTGATGTTTTGATGCAGTTTTTGATTTTTTTTTGTGTGCATAAAAAACCACCAGAATCACTGAGAATAGACATCCGGTTAAAAAAAGAATGACCATTTTTTATATAATTTTTTATTTGGCTTTTCATTACAGATTTTCTTATTAAACTGCCTACCCTGACTTCCCGTCACTGATACAGTCTGCATTTCAACAGGCTGCATTGTATTGCACAGCACCAGGTCATAGTGCAGAGCCCATCCCTGCTGTTATCAGATATAAACCCTCACATTTCTATTGTGTTATGGTCAGGCAGTGTATTGTACTGTAGCTGCAGGGCAGGGTGGAGGGTGGATCCGGCCTGCAGCCCTAGAGAGCTGTAGCTTGAAGACGGTAATCAGATCCCTCTCTCAGCCCTGTCAGCCTACACCCATCCACTGTCAGGGAGCACTTTACTTTAATTACCCTGCTGCCAGCCTGCTCTGCTCTGGCTGCCGTTACTGCTGCCTGCGGAACAGCACATCTAGAGAGCTGTCAGGCAGCATTAACTGGCACAACACTGCCACTTAGATAGGCAGTCCCCTCCTAGGCCACCTGCCTGTTAGTGTGAAAAGCAGTGTTGTTTCTTTTTGTTTGTTGGTTCAGCTTTTTGTCCTGTAGCCCCCTATCAATTCTCCTCAGTCGCTTCTTGTTATTATCTTTGATTCAGATTCCTTTCTACGTGCTGTTGAAAAATCATGGCTACCCATGCAGAATAGACTCTGGTTCAATCCTTTGCCTCAGCTTGTGTGTGTAAATCAATGACTGTAAAACAGAGCTGTCAAATAAGGGTTTAGATGCATGTTAAGAAGTGGTTAATAGGTTTCCACGGTGGTGTATGTAATGGTGAATGTTGCATGTTGACATGTGTGCTAATGGTGGCCTGGCCTGTCCCCTGGGTATTATTATGGGCTGTAGTTAGTGGAGGAGGAGTCAGAGGCCATGTCTGCATCTGAGTAGGAAGTGTAGTCTGTGCCAATGATGATACGAATTGCTGTTCTCTGAACTCTCTCGATGGCATCGGATTGTTGCTTGTTTATCCCTGCATGCCACACTCGGCCAGCACATTCCACCGTTGGCCAGATGTAGGTGGTAAATACCGGTACCAGGTTAGGGAAGTGGAAGTGCTTCAGGCGTCGGTGGAGGAACAGACGTTGGTTGGCCTTTTCACAGATGTTCTCTACCTGTGTTGATTTTAGATTTCCTTGGATGTAGATTCCGAGGATCATGATAACCTCTTCTGTAGTGTTGTGTTGTTTATAGACAGGGGTGGTAGTACGGGTGGTGACTTGGTGAAGTGCACATGGAGCAGGTTGCACTTTTTGGGGTGCAGAACCATGTGGCTCCCCACTGACTACTTCTCCAGGTCAACCAGCTCTTCTTGGATGGTGGAAGGTGATGTCAGTTGTCTGGTATCTAATAAATTAAGGTTAACCAAAAATGTCCATTGCTTGACTGCAGTTTGCCTGGCTGCACTGTTGATATATGCAATAACAATCAGCGGGCCGAGCAGAGTTCATTGAGGTAGGGCACAAGATATACTGACACTGTCCAACAGCACACCATGATACCTCACCACCTGGTGTCTATTAGAGAGGAAGTTGCCTATCCATCTGGCGAGTGATGGACGAAGCCTGAGGTCTTACATCCTGGTGATGATGAGGTTGTGGCAGACACGGTCGAAGGCTTTGCTGAAGTCGGTGGTCACCAGGGAGCAGATGGAACCATTCTTATCCTGGGACTTGAAGAGCTCATTGGTTAGATCCACCAGACAGTGTGGTTGATTGGCCTTGTAGACATCCATACTGTTGGGTGTCAATTTGATATAGAATGTCACTGAGTGCCCATTCAGTGATAAAGCTCTCAGCTACTTTGCTCAGTAGAGAGGTTAGTGACTTGGTTTTCTGATATTTTCTGTAGACTTCCGAGGGTTGGACCTTTGGAGCAGGGCGTGCTGGTAAAAAGGAGGGCAGCAGTGCTGGGTTGATGGGTGGTAGGGACTGTGCTAATTTTGATAGTGCTTTGTTGATTTCATTTGCTGCTTGTTTTCTGTCACCTGGTCTAAGACCCTCTATGTGGAAGGTTGCCTCAGTGTGGGAGAGGTTGGCTATGTCCTTGATATTCTTATGCCACTGGGCAGGATCTTGCCTTTTGAGGGCTTGGATCTTATCTCTGTATAATGCCTCTTTCTCAGCTAGTTGCGTAGATAGGAGGGTCAGCTGTTGCTGTTGTTACTGTGTTCTCTGTGCTGCTGGCTCTTTGTGCTCCTGTCTAGAGTTGTAATGAGATGATTTTGAAGGAGTCAGGCGCAGGAGGGTAAATCACAGAATAACAGGATATATTCTGAACCACAGAGTTACGGAGTAATGCGTAAAAACACTCCATTGCACAAAACAGGCGCACTGGAAAATACAAGGCACACGGGGAATATTCCCGGTGATACAAAGTACACGGAGCTCCACCGAGCTTCTCTCTCCTCCACAATAAACAATCACACACAAAGACAAGGGGGCAGAGGGAACACTTATACAGGTACTGATGAGGGGATATGAACCAGGTGTGTGTTATAAACGAGGCAAAACAAATGGAATGATGAGATGAGGAGCGGCAGTGGCTAGAAGGCCGGTGACGACGAACGCCGAAGCCTGCTTGGAAGTTGTGACAGGAGTAGATATAATATTGTAAAGGACAGCCATCTCCCTGTGACATCTTCACCCAGCTAGCACATAATGTTCTGAGAACCATATGTTTTTTAGAGCTTGGTGAGAGCGTGGTGGCCCTATGGTTATTTTGCATACAACCTTCCCACAACGTTCTGGGAATGGTGCAGGATAGTTGCTTGGCTTCGGAACATTCTCATCACATTTAAGGAACTTGACAAAAAAAGTAACATATTTTCTTGGTATTTCATTACTTTAACAGAATATTTCTTAAAAGTTCAACCATGGTTATATTCAGTTAACATTTTGATAATGTTCTAGGAATGTTCTCCAACGGGTTTACATTGGGAATGTTCTCAAATAGTTCAGAGAACGTTAAGAAACAAAGCTCTTCTGAGGGAATTTCAGTACTTCAGCATAACGTTTCCTACAGGTTTCCTCATGGTTCTATTTAAAGTCATGTTCTCAAATTGTTCCAAGAACGTTAAAGGCCAAATGCAGGCGTTTTTATATCAATATCAAATCATTCCTGGGTAACAACTAAGTACCTTACTGTAATAGATTTCCATTCAAATCAGCAAAAATAGCTTTTTTAGCAAAAAACTATTTCTCAAGCAAGAATTATGCTAAGACTGTCTGGGAGTGGTCTGAGTGGGGAGGGGAAAACTGAAAACTAGCTGTTGTTGGCAGAGGTTTGGAACTCTCTTTGTTATTGGTCTATTAACCAATTTACCGCATGGTGATGTCACCATGGAAAGCTGAAACTCCTTAAGCGATGTTCTCAGAACGTTCAGAGAATGTATGGTTCTCTTTTGTGTCAGTTCTTGGCAATATTCTGAGAACGTTCAACAAAGTTGAATTCTACACATTAACATCAATTAGCTTTGAATTTCATTCTCAGACCATGAAGAATACTTTCCATAAAAATCACATGAAAACTTAGTAACATTCAGAAAACATTCTAAGAATGTTATTTAAAAACATATACATTCCATTCTCAGTGTCAACAAAACTCTATCCTCTTTCTTGTTAACTGTGTTCAGGTGTGTTGGCAGCAGTGGTGTAAAGTACTTAAGTAAAAATACTTTAAAGTACTACTTAAGTAGTTTTTGGGGGTATCAGTACTTTACTTTACTTTACTATTTATATTTTTGACTACTTTTACATTTACTTCACTACATTCCTAAAGAAAATATTGTACTTTTTACTCCATACATTTTCCCTGACACCCAAAAGTACTCATTACATTTTGAATGCTTAGCAGGACGGGAAAATGGTCCAATTCACACACTTATCAAGAGAACATCCCTGGTCATCCCTACTGCCTCTGATATGGTGGACTCACTAAACACAAATGCTTTATTTGTAAATTATGTCTGAGTGTTGGAGATAGCCCCTGGCTATCCATACATTTAAAAAACAAGAAAATGGTGCCATCTGGTTTGCTTAATATAAGGAATTTGAAATTATTTATACTTTTACTTTTGATACTTAAGTATACTTTAGCGATTACATTTACTTTTGATACTTAAGTATATTTCAAACCAAATACTTTTAGACTTTTACTCAAGTAGTATTTTACTGGGTTACTTTCACTTTTACTTGAGTCATATTCTATTAAGGTATCTTTAGTTTTACTCAAGTATGACAATTGGGTACTTTTTCCACCACTGGTTGGCAGTGCCCACTAATTGGTCACACCTGATCTTAATGAGTGTGTGTTGATGCCGTGCCACAATAAAAAATAAAAAAATGTTGCATGATTAATGCTTAAGCAAATGAATTTCAATGTCTCTTACTGTATCTGTAGCCTTAGTACCAGTCTCTTTAGCTAACATTCCACTCCTTGCCACTCCTTGTCATTGCCAAAGAGACTGACCCTTTCGGCAATCTTCAAATATGAACATTCTATCATTAATGAGCTCGAGGAAATCAGAGGATTTGATCCTGATTCGATAACTGTCACAGCTATCCTCCAATCACAATGTTTATGCAAATTAGACTGATAGGAAAATGTTCTAACTTATAGCATTGGGCATTCTGACGTAATACATTTCATTGTAAACATAAACACTGGGCGTGGGGAGAGCAGAGGATTCCTGTTTATTGCATTTTTTATCACCAGCCAATGTGATCGTATCACACCAGAGAAGCTCTCGTTATTCAATCTTCCCTGCCAGTTCATTGTGAATGCTGTAGCCTATTTTACATCCAGCAAGCAAGAACAACCTTGCTTCTTTCCCGATTGTGTGTGTATATATATATATATATATATATATATATATACACACACACACAGTTGAAGTCGGAAGTTTACATACACCTTAGTCAAATATATTTAAACTCAGTTTTTTACAATTCCTGACATTTAATCCTAGTAAAAATTCACAGACAGTGTCACCAGCAAAGCACCCCCACACCATAACACCTCCTCCATGCTTTACATTGGGAAATACACATGCAGAGATCATCCGTTCACCCACACCACGTCTCACAAAGCCACAGCGGTTGGAACCAAAAATCTCAAATTTGGACTCCAGACCAAAGGACAAATTTCCACTGTTCTAATGTCCATTGCTCGTGTTTCTTGGCCCAAGCAGGTCTCTTCTTATTATTGGTGTCCTTTAGTAGTGGTTTCTTTGCAGCAATTCGACCATGAAGGCCTGATTCACACAGTCCTCTCTGAACAGTTGATGTTGAGATGTGTCTGTAACTTGAACTCTGTGAAGTATTTATTTGGGCTACAATTTCTGAGGCTGGTAACTCTAATGAACTTATCCTCTGCAGCACAGGTAACTCTGGGTCTTCCATTCCTGTACCGGTCCTCATGAGAGCCAGTTTCATCATAGCGCTTGATGGTTTTTGCGACTGCACTTGAAGAAACGTTCAAAGTTCTTGAAATGTTCCGTATTGACTGACCTTCATGTCTTAAAGTAATGATGGACTGTCGTTTCTCTTTGCTTATTTGAGCTGTTCTTGCCATAATATGGTCTTGGTCTTTTACCAAATAGGCCTATCTTCTCTACCTTGTCACAACACAATTGATTGACTCAAACGCATTAAGAAGGAAAGCAATTCCACAAATTAACTTTTAAGAAGGCACACCTGTTAATTGAAATGCATTCCAGGTGACTACCTCATGAAGCTGGTTGAGAGAATGTCAATAGTGTGCAAAGCTGTCATCAAGGCAAAGGGGGGCTATTTGAAGAATCTCAAATATATTTTGATTTGTTTAACACATTTTTGGTTACTAAATGATTCCATATGTGTTATTTCATAGTTTAGACATCAAAACTATGAAATAACACATATTTAAATCATGTAGTAACCAAAAAAGTGTTAAACAAATATATTTTAGATTTCAGTTTCTTCAAATAGCCACCCTTTGCCTTGATGACAGTTTTGCACACTCTTGGCATTTAAACATTAGAAGTTTATTCATAGGCTGGGCTATTATTCCACCTATATTAGGCCTAGCCTACTACAGTGAATTTAGGAGACCACCACCTGTGCTATGCAAGTCAGAGACCCAAAAAATGTTTTTGTCTGACGCACATTTTGTGCCAATGAATTTAAGTTGAACATCACCAAATGCGTCAGTTTAATTAAATGTGCAATAAAAAAGATATAGTGCCTAGGCCTATTTAATGAAACCCTGGTTGTTGACGTAGGCAACAGATCACAAAACAGTGAATCTACGATTCCCCACTGAGCTCCTTTTTGGAAATTGGCAGCCAAGCATGAGTGATCAGTGTAGCCTTTAATCGTAGGGTGTGGGTGTGAGTTCGCTAATTCTCTTTATGTCCATTCAAAAAGTTTCCTAAAGTAGCCTGTCTAGACTCCATCTCTTAATACGAGAGGAGGGACAAATAATGTAAGACAAATAATATAACTGAAATGAGCATAACAAAAATGTCTAAATGTAAGCAAGTCATGAAGATCAGCATATGTGTGAGGAATGACGACAGGTGCCAGTTTTTGTGTTTTCTTCCCTCTCATTATCATTACTGGGATGCAACTGAAACAAACGTAGCTCGATTGAATCTTGTAGGCTAATATGTTCCGTATCATTATTTCTCTCTCTCATTACAGAGTCATCTCTAGCCACTTTGAACAAAATTATAGTGCATTGACACTAACATCTCACAAGGGAATGACCGCAGCAGGTCGTAACAGTATTGGTTATTGTTGTTCTTAAAATTCTGTATTGCGCCACATTTGCACACACCCCATGTTCCATAATGTTGTCATGGAAAATATGAATGTTGTTTCCAACTACCAATCAGCAACTGCGCTGTAAATCCGGCTGCATATTGAATGTTGAGATTGCTGAAAGGCCAGTCTCTTTGGCTAATGCAGGAGTGGCAAGGAGTGGAATGTTAGCTAAAAAGACTGGTACCCAGACTACTGTATCTGTGCTTTGAGTTAAAATAAGTTAACCCAAAATAAGCTAGCAGTGTTGTTAAAAGTCTTATTGAATTCAGTGAAAGTTTTAAGGATGCTATTCAAAAACCTCCAAATAACCTTTAAATGTATTTCTTAGAGT